GAGTTGTATTTTTCCTTTCTTGGGGTATAGAGTTGACATGCTCTCAAGGTGACATCATTGTCACCCACACACAGCCCTCCTGGCAGTGGGCACGGATCCCCTCCAGGGTCGCCCTGCCCAGGGTCAGAGGGTTTAAGGGACAGATGTCCCCGCTGCATTATTGGATGGTCCCCAGAGACCTGACCGGAGGGCACGTGCTTTAAGGTGGAGAGAGATGGGTGAGGAAGGAGGGAAGTGGGGTGGTGTGGGGCGGGGCATCCCTATCCATAGACCCACGGGGTGAGGTCCCTCCAGACAGTGGTCTCGTGATCTGAACATTCTCAGCTCAAAAGATGCCGTTTCTCCCACCTCAGTGGAGGGGAGCTGAGCGGTGTGCGGCTGGAGTACCTTGGAGGCCGTGGATGGACTGCATTGGGAAGATGCCCCCTGAGTTTAGGTCCGAAAATTGAGACTCCTGTCTCATCAGTTATCCTGGGGAACTGTCACACAGAGTGACAGCTCTGTCCACAGCTGGCTTCCGGGGACCAGCCCCAGTGGGCAAGCTGCCCAGCGCTGGCTGTGTGGCCCAGCTTGATAGATAGAGGCTGTGCCAGGCCATGGTGGCTCAGTGGGTGAGCATCGACCTATGAACCTAGAGGTCCCGGTTTGATTCCCGGTCAGGGCACAGGCCCAGGCTGTGGGCTCAATCCCCGGTGAGGGGCGTGCAGGAGGCAGCCCATCAATGATTCTCTCTCATCATTGATATTTCCATCCCTCTCCCTCTCCCTTCCTCTCTGAAATCAATAAAAAATATTTTTAAAAAATAAGATAGAGGCTGCAGCTGTCTTTGAAATCACCTTGACAGTGGAAACCTCAAAAGACAGCCAACCTGTGATGATGGGGAGTGAAGGGCCTCAGGCAAGAGATGGACTTTGGTTCTTAGTCATGAGTTGGGGGCGGGACTTCCCTTGAGCCAACAATCCCCCCTGGACCTCAGTTTCCTGCATCCACCAGAACGGGAGGAGGCTGCCTTCCCGTCCTCGCCCACAGGGGCATGGCAGGGACTCAACAGCTGCGACAGCTGCTCCTGGGACCCGTCCCTCCCGAGGACTCTGCTGTTACAGATACTCAACCCAGCAGGACAATCCCCTCGGTGACACGTTGAGGGGTCAAAATCTGGCAGCGCCTGGGCCTCCTCAGGAACGGACGCCATTGGGAATGGACACCAGGGCGCTCTGCTCTTGTCAGGTGACCCGCAGTGCCTCCGGCTGGACTGCCTCGTACCTGAGCCAGTCCCCACAGCTCCTGTCGGCGCACTTCCCCTCACCGTGTCTTTATGTCCCCCACCTCCATCGGCGTTGAGGAGGGCGGGGTCAGCCCCAGAAATACAGGCCCGGTTCTTGCCATGGGCCTGGGGTGTGACCTGCCAAGAAATGGCTGAGGGGCTGTTGGGCTGGGCCTGGAGCACTCCTGAGCGGTTGCTGGTGGAGGAAGTGGCGAGGCTGAAATACTTGTCTTCATGATCTAGAAGCTTGTCCGCCCCCAGGAATGTAGGGGAGGGAGTGCCAGTTTTGGTGAAAGCCAAAACTGAGATTAACAAAGTGTGCGCTCAGAATCATATATATCGCACTGCTTTGCATGGACTTTGGAGCCAGCGGACCCTAAGGCATCCAAGGAATTCACACAAACTTGCCCAGATATTTTCCCCTTCCATTTATGATGACAGTATTTGCCTTTGAGAGTTGCTGCCAAGATTAAATGGTATAATACACACCAAATGGTTGCTGTCACATGCTGAGCAGGCCTGTGACCAGTGTTATCACCATCACCATCACCACCAATTGGTTACCACTTTCATCATCATCAATACTATCACCATCACCACCATCACCATCATCACATTCACCATCATCACCAGCATCACTATCGTTATCACCATCATGATCACCACCACCACCACCACCATCATCATCACCACCTTCATCATCATCACGTCATTCCCACCATTATGATCATCATCATCACAATCATTATCACCATCATCATCACCATCACAATCATCATCATTATCCCCCCCAAATTATCATCATCCCCACCACCATCATCACCATCATCCATTGTCATCATCATCACCATCATCATCACCACTATCATCATCATCATCCCCACCAATGTTAGCATGACCATCACCAAAATTATCGTCACCATCATCACCATCATCATTACCACCATCACCATCACCATCACCATTATCATCACCATTATCATCACCATCATCATCACCATCACCATCACCATCATCATCACCATCATCATCACCATCACCATCATCACCATCACCATCATCATCACCATCATCATCACCATTACTATCACCATCACCATCACCATCACCATCACCATCACCATCATCATCACCATCACCATCACCATCATCATCACCATCACCATCACCATCACCATCACCATCACCATCACCATCACCATTACCATCCCATTACCATCACCATCACCATCACCATCACCATCACCATCACCATCACCATTACCATCCCATTACCATCATCATCACCATCACTATCACCATTATCATCATCATCATCACGAGCTTACATCCCATCACGGGAAGTATAGACACAGGATGAGCTCCTAGTTTTCAGGACAGCGTGGTGGTCTCTCAGTGTGACTGGGCCGGAGGGAGCGTGTGGACGGAGGGTGAGGGGGACTGGGCCGGAGGGAGCGTGTGGACGGAGGGTGAGGGGGACTGGGCCGGAGGGAGCGTGTGGACGGAGGGTGAGGGGGACTGGGCCGGAGGGAGCGTGTGGACGGAGGGTGAGGGGGACTGGGCCGGAGGGAGCGTGTGGACGGAGGGTGAGGGGGACTGGGCCGGAGGGAGCGTGTGGACGGAGGGTGAGGGGGACTGGGCCGGAGGGAGCGTGTGGACGGAGGGTGGGGGGGACTAGGCCGGAGGGAGCGTGTGGACGGAGGGTGGGGGGGACTGGGCCGGAGGGAGCGTGTGGACGGAGGGTGGGGAGGACTGGGCCGGAGGGAGCGTGTGGACGGAGGGTGGGGAGGACTGGGCCGGAGGGAGCGTGTGGACGGAGGGTGAGGGGGACTGGGCCTGAGGGAGCGTGTGGACGGAGGGTGGGGGGGACTGGGCCGGAGGGAGCGTGTGGACGGAGGGTGGGGGGGACTGGGCCGGAGGGAGCGTGTGGACGGAGGGTGAGGGGGACTGGGCCTGAGGGAGCGTGTGGACGGAGGATGAGGGGGACTGAGCGGCCATCCTCCCGGCTTGTCCATTAAACTGGGCATCCTTTTTTTTCCGTCCTCTCTGCCAACATGTCTCACTTGCGTCTCAGGGAAGCTGGTGAGCAGACAGGATTCCTGAGGCCGGTGGGCACCCCATTGCTGCGGAGGTTGAGGGTGGTCCATATGGCACAAAGCTTAGCTCAATTGGCAGGCGGATTTGGCAGGCCTGGGGCAGAGCCGAGCTGTCTCACAGATGTGACTAAGCGGGCACCAGTCTATGGGAACCGTGGGCCAGAACCAGCAGTGAATGCCGCCACTGTAAATAATGGGCCCCAGAGCGGCTGCTCCGGAGGGCGGCACCGCAGCTGAGGGGGTGAGTCCTGGCACTGCCTGGGCCACAGGTGCGCAATACCTGGCTCTCGAGTCGGACAAAAGAATGAATGAGGGAGCCCATGACACTGTCTCCTCCAGCGCCCCCCTCCTGCCAGTGCCGGGCATCTCCCCCGACTAACGGAAGAGGGGCCGCAGGATGAGAGAGCTGGCGTCTGGTGATGCCAACTCGGAGTCATTTGCTAGCAATTCCCCCCCCCCCCCCCCCGCCCCGAGGATCATATCCGGTGGAGAAGGAACATCTGTGTGCGAGACCGTGTCCTTGCGAGGCCGCCAGAGGAACCTTGCGCTCGGAAGCCCTCCGCCGGGACCCGCACACGCGTGCTTCTCCCCGCGGGGCCTGCTGGGTTGGGGTCCTGGGGGTGCGGTGGGTGGGCTCTGCTAAGGGACTTCAGGCCTGGGCGCCAGGCGTGGGGAGAGACAGGTGCTCAAAGGTCTCAGGTGGAAGAACTCGGGGCATGAGCACTTCCGTGGGGTGGGGGTGGGGGTGTGCCGACACCTGCCGGCTCCCTGCTGGCCCCTCGGCCTCTATCACCTGACGCCCAGGTGAGTAAGGTTCTTGCTGCGGGGGGCAGGGGGGTCAGGGGGGCGGAGGGAGAGGACAGGAGAGCTCTCTTCCTCTGGCATCTGCCTGTGGGGTTAGTGGACGGCTCTTGGCCGGGGCTCTGGCTGCCCTGGTTCTGGAGCCCTTTTGTCCCCGTCCTGCTCCCCCCTCCCCCCTTCACACACAGCAGGGCGACCACAGAGCCCCCCGGGACCTCTCGTTCCCTGACACTCACCAGGCCGTGCACGTGTTGGAGTAACATGGGAGCCGTGTCCCAAGGATCCAGCTGGCCCCGAGCTGCACGCTGGCTCCCACCTTCCCACCAGTCCTGCACCTTCCCGGGCCTCCTGGGTCAGGCGAGTCCGCCCCACCTGCAGGCAGCCGCCTGCTGCTCCGTGGCCAGGAGCAGGACGTCCCCGGGGCGGGAGGGGAGAGGAGGGTGACAGGTCCTGGGCGAAGCTCCGGCCAGGACTCCCCTGCTCCAGGTGAGGCCCTGCAGGTGCCGGGGACCAGCTGCCCACGGGCCAGGTCACCACCTGGGGACTGAAAGGGCTCCGGGAGGAGAGAGGCCGTGGCTGGGGCTCCCCTCCCTGGACTCCGGGTGAGGGCAGCCCTGGCGCCCACAGCACCTGCCGGCACCTGGTGTGTGAAGGAGGGGCCCGCGGGCCTGTGAGGCCCCCACGCAGCATCCCCTGCGGCCCCTCGCGGGCGCATACAGGCTGCCCACCGACAGGACCCGGCGCCGGTAGCCAGGCTGACAGGACAGGCTCAGGTGCCCCTGTCTGGACGCCTTTATCACATGACCCCGTCTCACGTCTCCCTCCCCCTCTGTTTCCAGGCCTGGCCGTCCATCAGATCGTCACCATCACCGTCTCCCTCATCATGGTCATAGCTGCTCTGATCACAACTCTTGTCTTAAAAAACTGGTAAGGGTCCCGGCCCTTCTCGTCTGGAAATGGAGGCTGCGGGGGTCCCCGGGTGGGGGGGCAGGCGTGCACACAAAAGGGTCCTACTTCTCAACCTGGCGGCAGGCACAGCCCGGGGGACTGTTTCTCTGTGCCAGGCCGGGCCCCCCATAGCACAGCCCCTGGTTCCGCAGCCCCCATCCCGCAGGCTGGCCGAGAGCCGGCGTCCTGACTCAGGCAGCAGGCGTACCCCTCTGCACCCCTTTCTCCCGGAGCAAGTGCCTTGGGTTGCCCCCTGGGGCGCATTCCTTTTCCTTTCTTTTTTTTTTAATATATGTTTTTATTGATTTTTAGAGAGAGAGGGAAGGAGAGGGATAGAAAGATAGAAACATTGATAAGAGAGAAGCATCAATACGAGAGGAATGTCATCGATCAGCTGCCTCCTGCACGCCGCCTGCTGGGGATCGAGCCTGCAACCCAGGCATGTGCCCTGACTGGGAATCCGACCCGTGACTTCTTGGTTTATGGGTTGATGCTCAACCACTGCGTCACACCGACTGGGCCCCAAGCCTTTTTCTTCACTTCCCAGTGTCAGCCTGGCAGTGGCTGCACTGGCCCTCGCTGGCCCCCGGCCTCGCTGGCACGGGCTGCCCCGGGCGCCCGGTGCTGGCCCAGCCTCCTCCCCCGCTTCCTGCCTCCGCGAGCCGCCCGCGTCTGTGAGTCAGGTGACTGCTGTGCTCCTGGCGCCTGTCTCTGCCTATTTCCTCCTGGAAATTGGCCTATTTTGAGGTTGGCCTCGCCGTGTACACACACCTGCTACCCCCTGGGAAAAGCGGGAGCTGCCGGGTGACCCCTGTCTGCCTGCAGCCACTCCCGCAGCAAACGTGGTCCTTCTGGCATCAAAGCTCAGACTCCCTCGCAGAGTAATTCGCCCAAATGCTCCCCCGCTGCCCGCAGAGTTGGCAGGGCTGTGGGTGGGAGCGGCTGGGCATCCACACGCGGAAGTAGCTAGAAAGCTGGTTTTCAGGTCAGTAAAGGCGGACAGGGGGGGACAGGGGGGTCAGCGAAGGTGGACAGTGGGGCACAGGGGGGTCAGTGAAGGCAGATGGAGGGGCACGGGGGGTCAAAGAAGGCAGACAGGGGGTCACAGGGGGGTCAGCGAAGATGGACAGGGACAGGGGGGTCAGCAAAGACAGATGGGGAGGCACAGGGCTGGGAAGGACCTCCCACAGGCCAGCGAGGCCTGGGCACCGCCCCCCCCAGCCCCCCACCGCCTATGGCCAGTTTCCCGGGGCAGAGGACGAGGCCAGCACTCAGCTTCCAGCGGTGCCCTGGGCAGGGGCGGGCCACACGGTGCCTGGCCCCCAGTCCCGCCGACCGTCCTGATGAAGGATGACCCTCCCCCCAGGGGACAGCAGATTGTGACCCGCTGGGTGACAGGCTGCCAGCTTCCTCTTGGTTTCCCCACACGCTTTCGTTTGCAGCGAACCCTCAAAAAGCCCTCAGGGAAGACGACCCAGAGGGATGAGTGGGTTCCGTGACCTTGGGGACGGGGGAGGGGGGGGTTCCAGGCCAGCAGGCAGGAGGCCTCTCCCAGGGGAGCCGGGCAGGGGGACACCTGACTCAGGGGCCTGGGCACACGACCCCCTTGCAGCCTCTCATTGGGCATCAGCGCTGAGCATAGAGGGGAGGAGAGGGGAAGGGCACTGGTGCCCCACTGAGGTCCCCCAAAGTGGGGCTCCCCAAATTCCCTCCTCGCCACCCTCCTCCGTGGGGACAGAAGTTCCACCCATCCTGCTGGTGAGCCCGCCAGCGGGACATCCAGGGACAGGGACGGGTCTGACTGTCACTTCCCCAGATCCCTCGGCCCACAGGGTTGGGTCCCTGTGTTCGTTTCGGGCGGCATCTGGAAGCTTCCATGGTCCAGAGGAATGGGAACTGCGGCGGGCCTCCTGGGTGGGCAGGACAGTTCCCACCACAGATCCAGTCGCGGTGAAAGAATGAAGGACAGTCCAGTCTTATTCCCACCTCGTGGGCGTGGCAGGGGGGCCGACGCCCCACTTGTCCCCAAAGAGAAGGACGTAGTCCCATCCGAAACACGTGACCAGGCCCGGATGAGCACCAAGGTTTCCCCGTGAGAACCCGCCGTTTCCATCTCGTCGCGGCGTTCCTGGGGAAACTGAGTCAGCACAACGGTCGGGATGACCTTCTTTGGCCAAACAAGGACTCCGCTCTGGGATAAGAAAGCCCCTGGCCCTCCTTGCAAAAGTGGACACATTTTTAAAAAAATATGTTTTTATTGATGTCAGAGAGGAAGGGAGAGGGAGATAGAAACATCAATGGCGAGAGAGAATCATGGATCGGCTGCCTCCTGCACGCCCCCCACTGGGGATTGAGCCCACAACCCAGGCAGATGCCCTTGACCGGAATCGAACCAGGGACCCTTCAGTCCATAGGCAGATGCTCTATCTACTGAGCCAGACTGGCTAGAGCGATATTGGACACATTCAAAATTCAAATTTTATTGTTAAAAAGTGCTAATGGCTAGATTGCGGTTGATCTCCCGGTGGCTGGGAGTCCCCGTTGAGCAGTGATGGAGTCCAAGGTGGGTGGCTGGGGGCTGGAGTGGCTCTGTGTCCGCCTGGCCCACACCCCACGCCTGCCCCCAGCTGCGCGCAGAGCGGGCACCCCCGCAGGAACGGCCGCCCGCGGAAGATGGACCAGCAGGAGGAGAGCTGCCAGAACCTGACGGACTTCCCGCCGGCGCGCGTGCCCAGCAGCCTGGACATCTTCACGGCCTACAGCGAGGGCCTGCAGTGCTCCCACGAGTGCGTGCGCGCCTCCGTGCCCGCCTACGCCGACGAGACGCTGCGCTCCGTGGGCGAGTACAAGTCCACGTTCAACGGGAACCGGTGAGCTCGGCGCGGGCCGTCTGCCGCTGCGGGCCCCTGGCGCACAGGATGGTCGCGGGGCTGCGGACCGGGGTGGGGGGTACCCTTCACCTGGGTCTGAGGGTCCGAGCAAACGCAAGGGCCTTCCCCCACCCAGAGAGAGGCCGCCGCCGCTGCCAGAAGCCGCCCGGCCTGCCCTGGGCAGTGGCGAATGTCTTGCCCCCTCGGTGCCCCTTCTCGCCTCTGTGTCCTGGAGCGGGCGTCGCTGCACCCCCAGCTCCAAGCCAGCTTTGTAGCCCCCAGTGCCAGCCTTCCCGATGGGTCCCCCCCTCCCGGTCAGTGTCTCTGACCCGCATCCATAAAGTGTTCGCAGCGAATCGAGCAAAACCATGGGATCCCAGCCGGACTCCAGCCATGTTCTTATTAACCAGGAGCGATCCCTGAGCGCGCACGGCCCTAACGCGCGCTGGGTGCCCTCCAGCACCTGAGTCAGCGGCCAGTGCGTCCGGAATTACATTAAAACATCAATAAGCTCCTTTCTAAAAGCGGCCGCACACTCAGGCCTCATTTTATAAATTAGAAAAAACCCTGCACCAGCTTAATTTGAGGAGGAAATGGGTAGGAAGGCAGGTGGATTTGGGGGTCCCTGTCAGTGCAGGACGGCAGCTGGCGACCCTGCCCAAGGCACCCCAGAACCAGTTGGGGAGATGGGGTGACTTCAGCTGGAGGGCCCGTGGCTGACGCAGCCTGTCCCTTGAGGAACCAGCGGCTGCTCCCCGTTGCGCGTCCACATTGTGTGTGAGATGCCCCATTCCCAGAGGGGAGGCCTCAGGACCGACCTTCCCATCACCACCTGTTACACTCCAGGACACTGGGAAGCTCGGGGGCCACCCCCAGCCTGCGGAGGGCCAGCTCCCAGGACTTGGCGGAAGGATTTTCATGCCATTTCACTGACTGTGCCACCACTTTGGACAGGAACCCTGCCAGCCAGCGCCCCAGCCTCAGGGGTGGGCGGGGGACGGTGATGGGGCCTGTTTCACTTTGTTCCCCCGCTCTGACCCTGTGTCAGGCGGGGTGGCACGGGCAGGGTGTCCACGGGCAGGGTGGCACGGGCAGGGTGTCCATGTGCAGGGTGTCCACAGAGAGGGTGTCCACGGGCAGGGTGGCATGGGCAGGGTGTCCACGGGCAGGGGGTCCACGGGCAGGGTGTCCATGGGCAGGGTGTCCACAGAGAGGGTGGCACGGGCAGGGTGGCACAGGCAGGGTGGCATGGTGGGCATGCTCGTGACCTGGCGAGGGACCGTGGGTGGAAAGGTGCTTGCTTTTCGGTGGAAGGTGAAGCTCCACCGGCCCTTGCTGACCTGGTGCTGGGGTCCAACCCCAGCAGGTCCAGGGGTCCCCAAAGGTGTGGACGGAGTCGGCAAAGAAGGAATGACACAGAGACAGCGTTCAGGTGATCAGCAGCCTAGCCAGGATCTCCAGCCAAGTTCTGGTCTGGATCTCCAGCGAAGTTCTGGTTAGGATCTCCAGCCAGGTTCTGTAGCCATGTTCCCTAACTAGGTTCTCCAGTCAGGTTCTGTCCAGGTTCTCCAGCCAGGTTCAGTCACCAGGTTCTAGTCAGGTTTTCTTGCCATGTTCTATCCAGGTTCTGTAGCCAGGTTCTGTCTCTAGGTTCTATGGCCAGTTTCTGTCCAGGATCTTTTGCCATGTTCTCTCCAGCGAAGTTCTTCTGTCTCTAGGTTCTGTGTAGGTTCTGTCTTCTAAGTTCTGTCTTGTTACATCTGTATTTATACCAGTTGATTCCAATCCTATCAATCTCTATTCCAAAGGTTAGGGCGTTTCTTATCTCCATTCCAGGGAGTAAAGATTATGTAGCTTAAGCATGATTGTTCATAGTTAAAGTGATTAATTACCCACCTGGCAGTTAAGAGGTTTTATTCCCTCCCTAACTTCAGGGGAAAATCCCTACCTGGGGAAACAACCTTTCTCAGAGAGGTGACTTTGGTTAAAACACATAGTGCCAAGAAGGTGAGCAAACATATTAAGAACAGTGTGCCATATATGCCAGGTCCCTTGAAACAGCAAGGATGGACCGGTGCCCGGCAACCTGGGAGGTGGCAGCTTTGTCTGGAAGGTGACAGATAGGGGTGCCATTTCAGGAGCCAGGCCTGCCCGCCCTGCGGTGTGTGGTAAACCTGTCCCATCCTGTCCTCGCGGGCAGCGACCCGCGCTCTGTGCCTGTCCTGGGACCCAAGCGCTGAATTCTGGAGGTGGCCCCAGGGCCCGAGCCCCCCGCCTCCCCACCACCGTGCTCCCAGGACAGTCCCCAGGCCCTGGGCCCTCCAAGGCCGTCCAGGGTGGAAGGGGCGTCAGCCACAGGAGGCGGGCCCGCCGGGCCTGTGGGCCTGGACCAGCCGTGCCAGCCGTGCCTTTCTGTCGCCGCAGGCCCTCCTCTTCGGATCGGCACCTCATTCCCGTGGCCTTCGTGTCTGAGAAGTGGTTCGAGATCTCCTGCTGACTGGCAAAGCCTTTTTTACCTCCTGGGGGCAGGGCGGACGCCGTGTGTCTGTGTCACGGTAGGTTCCTTTCTCCCTCTGCCTCTCCCTCCCCACCCGTCCTCGCTCTGGGGGCCCCTCCCGCCGGGGTCACCCTGGGAGGAACTGTGGTGTGTGACCTTTCTGAGCCGCCCGCAGGCCTGGGCTGTGGGCTCCCCGCTGCCCGGGTGAGAAACGCCCCACATCCCCGTGTGTGTGTGTGTGGGGGGGGGCGGGCAGGGGGAGGGATGGTGACTCAGGCACCCTGACCCCGCACCAGAGCTGTTTCTGTCCGTGTCCGTCCCTCCCCACGGAGGCCACTGCGGCCCGGCCTGCAGTGGCGGGGACAGCAGCACTGGCGCCCGATCCCTGGACGGGCAGCCCTGAGGGCAGTGCCCAAGCGGGCGGGCACCACCATCCGTCGCACGCCCCTACCTGGGGGGGGCGGGGGCGGGGCTCAGAGCACAATTACAACCCAACTTCGAGACACAGAAACGAGAGCAGGAGGAAGAGGGCAGAGAGAGACAGGGAAGAGTGAGGCGGCTGCTAATTGGAGCCGGGCCCTGGCAGCCGGGGGCTTCCCGCCAGGCGGCGGGAGCATTCGCTTCGCCCTCGGTGAGATTAACGCTAATGTGGGTGGGAAGTGGGTTCCTTCAGGTCTGGGTCTCGCCCCAGGGCTGCGGGTCCTGCCAGCGCAGTCACAGCGCAGCCCCGGGCGCGGGCTTTTTAAGTCTGTCTCCCCCCTTGGAGGCTGGGTGTCCTGAGGGTCCCCGCTTTGCTCATCCTCAGGGAGCCGCCTTCCCTCCCAAGGCGAGGCAGGTCCTCCCGCGAGCAGGGCCCCCGCTGCCCTGGGCGGTGGAGGAGATTTGAGGGTGTTTTCCTTTCTCTGTTCACCTTCTGGTGTGGGCACTGCCGGGGCAGAGCCGTGGTCAGGGGATGCAGGCCCCAGGCAGAGAGGTGCTCCCCGGGCCCTCGGGGACCCTGGGGGACCCTCGGGGACGGGGCTGGCGGCCTTCAGCTGGAGCCCAGGGAGCCAGCAGCTCTCAGCAGCCTGGCAGGATCGCTCTGTCCCGAGGCCCGTCCTAATGAATAGTGTGTTTGCTCCAAATTAAATCCCAGCCCTTGCTCCCTGTCCCGACGCCAGCATGACCTGCTCAGCGCGACGTTCAGCCAACGGGCAGGGAAGTGTAATGAGATTAGCACGGAGAGCGAGCCTCCCCCTCAATGCCTTGGCTGAACCCCTGCACATGTGGGCAGGATGTGTTCTGTCCCCGGGTTCAAGGCCGGATGGGCACGGCACGGCCCAGTCCTCAAATGCCTGCACCTTTGTCTGCCTCGGTGGACACCTCCTTGGGGCCCCGGGAGCTCCCGTGGCTGCAGCCAGACCTGCCGCGGGGCCTCGCTCAGGAACAGGGGGTCCCGCCTGTCCCAGGACCGCCTCCACGGGCCGCCCGCCGGGGCCAGCAGCTCTGCAGGGATTTTTAAAGGTTTTCAAATGCAACCAGAGCATAAGACTCTGAGCCGGGAGGCTGGCCCACACACACAGGATCTGGCCAGCAGCCAGGCACCGGAGCACGCACACCTTTGGCTGCAGGTAGCGCCCCCATGGGGACAGTTCCCTAACACGGGCGTTTGAATGGCAGCTCACGGGAGCGCTCTTTCCGTCGTCTGCGAACTCACTCCGTCCTCCCAGGGTCCCCTTCCAGACGGGAAAGAGAGGCACGAGGTTACGTGACTCGCCGAGGTCAGTCAGGCGGTAGGGGGAGGGGCAGATCACCCCAGGCCCCCAGGCGGCAAGGTGTCTGGATTCCACTCTCCGAAGGTGCCCGAGGAGCTATTTCGGGAGCACCCTGTTTACAGGAGGGGACCCCCTGTCCGGAGACCTCCCCTCGCTCACTGTGGACGCAGGTAGGTGAGGCGAGAAGTGCCCCCAGGACTTGCAGGGCGCCAGCCCCCCTCGGCCTCCAGCCAGCGGCAGGAAGCAGCGCTCTGTCCGGCCACCTCCCGTCCCCGCGGACGAGGCCCTGATGGACGCTTAGGATTCCGGGCCGGGTGTCGGGAGCCGTTTATCACCCGCTGGGAGCAGCACATTCGGGAGCGAGTGTCCTGATTCTCGTAATGAATGCCTGGACACGAGCCTCAGGCGGGGGTCACCAGGAAGACGGCTCAGATTTACTGGGGTGCCGGTTACCCCTTAAATAAATACCGATTAATGTGAAAGCGTTTAAGTAGGGCCTGAGAGCCAGCGGAGGTGTTTGTCTAGGGCCTGGCAGCGGAGCCTCTGCAAATGCATTTTTTATGACGATGGACAGCTTGTCACCACCCCTCTGCTCGCGAGAACCCACTGGCACGTCGGGGACCCAGGCGTGGCTAAGTGCGCCTCCTGCCAGCGGGTGGTCGGCGATGCGCCAGAGGTGGACACGGGCCCCCAGCCCGGGCAGCGTCGCCGTGTCCCCGGGTTCGGCCTCGGAAATGAGCCCACAGAGCCTGGCCCAGACCGGCTCCCCGACGACCCAGCTCATCCGTGTGCCGGGCAGGACGCAAGGACGCCGCGGTCTTCCCTGCTCCCAGGACGGCGGCCTCACACACACACCCGGGTGGCTCTTGGGCTCTCATTTCCTGTCACTTTTCATACAAGTCAACTTCAGCGCCCAGACCTTTCCATTCGCCGAGGCCGCTACCTCCCAGATGGAGCCCGAGACGTGACAGAGGCCCCCGGCCGGAGCCAGGGGACATCCATCTTGGGGTTCTTACTTTCAAAACCACTGGAGCCCGAACTAATCAGAAACGGAGAGCACCTGAGCCTGGCCGCTCTGTCCCCCAAAAACGGGCAGGCCGGCAGCCTCTGTCCGTCGGAGGAACAACATTCTCTACGCGAGAGCCCAGGGCCAGGGGCCAGCGCCCAGCGGAGCTCGGCGGGAAGCAGCCCGGCCTGGGGTGGGGGCGGGCGCCCTGTGACCCCTCTGAGGAGCCCTGCCCCTCCTGGCTGGGAGCTGAACCGGCTTGTCCGCCGCTTCCCGTGAACGTGGGCCCGGGCCCACTTCCTGCCTGGGGTTCCCGGGTGTGCCCGGGGCCGCGGGGCACCGTCCTGTCCCGAGGACACGGGGCGGCCGTCCGCCGGGCAGCACAGGGACGGGGCTGGGTCGCCGCGGCCCAGGGAGTCTGCGAGGACCCCCCTGCCCTCCGCCTGCTGCCATGTAATCGCCTCTTGTCTTCTTTCCACACAGGATCCCGTGGGTGAACCTGTAAAAAACTCAACTACACTGACAAACCCAAAACTACACTATGTGAGGGAGGCTCACGCACTCCCACCGCTGTGTGCCGGCGGGGACTCGGAGCAGGACGCCAGAGGCCAAATATATTTTTATAGAGAAGCTCGCGCCTACGGGGCTGCCCTCCCCCAGCACCAGAGGACGAGGGGAGAACGCCAGCCGGACCGGAGGCCGAGGCAGCAGGCCCAGCGCAGAAGCGGACGCCCCCGGGGAGGCGGGCGCTGTCCACGCTTCTGACTGTGCCGACAATACCGTTATGTGCCATGCAGGACCCGAGGGACCTGGTGAACCGCCGAGCCACGCGCGCCCGCGTGGGAATCTCACGGGAAGCAGGGCTGGGCATCCCTTCCGCAGAGTCACTGTTTCTGGGGAATATCGATGTATATAAATATATAAACACACACACACACTTTTTTGTACTGTAGCAATTTTTGAATATCTTCGATGTTCCTTTTTAAAAAAAAAAAAGTGTTATCGGTCACCAAACCCGACTGATGTGACATGCTTAGTACGGACGGAATACACTGGTGTTTTCTACCTTGCAGACGCACACGCGCACACACTACACGCCGGCTCGCACACACGCACACACCCCCACACACAAACGTATACGCGCACATATATATCTGCATATACTGGACACGCAGCCCGAGTGGGCATATTTCTTCGGGGGGGTCCTGGTCCCTCATTGCCACCCGTCCTGGGGGACCGCCTCCTCGACCCACAGACCCTCCAATGGCGTGTCCCCCGTTTGCAAGTGTTGGGTGAGAGGCGCCAGGCGTGTGGCGTGTTCCTCGGGCCGGATGAAGAAGGCGTGGTTTTATATACATACCCCTATATATACATATATGTACGCACACACGTCATGTTACCGTTTTTTACCTGACTGTTGGAAGAAGCCACTAAGCCATGTGGGTATTTATGTAGCAGCTGCTCGCCCTGGGCCCGGGTGCCATCGGGCGGGGGCGGGGTCTTGGCCATCTTCGTGTTATCCAAGCGTAGATCGAATTAAAGACATTTTCCAGTTCCAACAAGTAGAGGACTGAATCCTTATCACGTGTGTACGTACGTACGTCGGCGCAGAGCTGGGAAAGTGAGGCGGCCCAGTTTGTTGGAAAACGAGATGAATTCCCTGTGGGTGGGGCCCGGCTGCTCCCACGCGAGCCATGCCCTGGCGTGCTCTGTCCCCGCACATTCGTGGGCAGAGGTTGCCGGCTCTTGCTTGAGCCCCAGGGTGACCTTGAATCTTGTGGGGAGGCCGGAGCAAACACAGTGTCTGTGGGTTCCCGCTGGCCAACATGTGTGTGTTGCTGTCAACGATTCCCCCGTGTGGCTTCCCCGTGGAAATGGGACCCCACGCCGGAGTCTCGTCACGATCCCAACCCACAGTCTATGCAGATGGGGCACCCTCCAAGCCCCACCGATGAAGGTGCCCGTACCCCGCTTGCTGCCGTAGGGGCGCTGTGGGAGATGGCCGCCATCGGAGGACCTCCTCCATGAGAGAACTTGCCCTTCCAGGGGGCCCAGATCCTGAGTGTGTGTGTGTGAGACTGTGTGTGTGAGTGTGTGTCTGTGTGTGTGTGTCTGTGTGTCTGTGTCTGTGTATCTGTGTCTGTGTGTCTCTCTCTGTGTGTGTGTGTGTGTCTGTGTGTTTGTGTCTGTGTGTGTGAGTGTGTGTGTGTGTGTGTGTGTGCGTGTGTGTGTGAGTGTGTGTGTCTGTGTGTGTGTCTGTGTGTGTATGAGTGTGTGTGTGGCTTGTCTCCTATAAATGGCCCCCGTGCAAATGGATTTCACCAGGAGGGTGCGCACCAATCTGGGTAAAAGGGTGGAGACCAGGCCGACCGTGACCTCGCGCCCACTCACTAGCTGGGCTGGTGGCACCCTGATGCCTCCGGGGCCCCGCCTCCCTCTGACACACCTCGGTAAGTGCCGGCCATGGTCCCTTGCCCACCGGAGGCCCTGAGACGCTGGCAGAACAGCTGGCCTGGCTCCGGGGAGCCCTTGGCCGCATGGTCACGTCCACGTCTAGGCTTAGCCCCTTGTAAACTCACCCACCTGCTGTCCTTTGTACCTGATTGGAATACGGTGCAAACCCTTTTGTTTACAAGCTCCGAGTGCTAAGGGGGAGGCGCTTCCTGACCCTGTGCCACCGGCTCAGACCCCAGAGCGGTCGTCCGGACGGTGGTTCTGCTGTTTGGTCTAATTAACATATTAGCTCTTTATTATGTAGGACTAGAGGCCCGGTGTATGAAATTCATGCACGGGGGGCAGCGGGGAGTGGTCTCCTCAGCCCAGCCTACACCCTCTCCAATCCAGGACCCCTTGGGGGATGTTTGACTGCCTGTTTATGCCCAATTGGACCTAAACCGGCAGTCGGACATCCCTCTCACAATCCTGGACCGCTGGCTCCTAATCGCTCACCTGCCTGCCTGCCTGGTCACCCCTAACTGCCCCCCCTTGCTGGCCTGATCGCCCCCACTGCCCCCCTGCTGGCTTGGTCGCCCCCAACTGCCCCCCACTGCTGGCCAGGTCTCCCCCAGTTGCCCCTTTCCTGCTGTACTGGTTTCCCCCAACTGCCCCCCTGCTGGCCTGGTCACCCCCAAATGCCCCCCATGCTGGCCTGGTCGCCCCTCATGGCCCCCCCCTGCTGGCCTGGTCAACCCATGCAGCCTGCTGTTCAGTCTTTTGGTCGTCCCTCACTAACCCCCCTGCCGGCCTGGTCGTAGGCAGCCATCTTGTGAGGGAATGAGGGTTAATTTGCATATCACCTCTTTATTATATGGGATATGTATATATATTTTTATTGGTTTCAGAGACGAAGGCAGAGGGAGAGAGAGATAGAAACGTTAATGATGAGAGAGAATCATTGATTGGCTGCCTCCTGCATGCCCCCTCCCCTACTGGGAACCGAGCCCACAATCCGGGCATGTGCCCTGACGGAGAATCGAACCGTGACCTCCTGGTTCCTAGGGCGATGCTCGCCACTGAGAAGACCAGCTGGGCAGTCCACCTCTTGTGCTGCTCCCCCGTTTGGTCTGTTATCTGCCGCCCAGGAAGCCTGGCCGGCCCAGGCTCTGGCAGGGGAACCAGGGCTGAGCTGGGCCGGGACAGGAAGCCGGGCACAGCTGGGCGGGGTCCTTTGAGGCTTTTGTTTCTCGGCGGCATCAGCACATAGCTTTGGGGGGCCTGTGCTCTGACACCCTCATCCTCTCCTGTCAGTGAACCTCCGCACCCACGGGCCATCGCTCCCCGTCTCCCACCGCCAGCCCGCGGGTCACAGCGGGGAGAGCCCCTGAGCCCCCGGCTGTGTGGCCGTCGGGCCGTTCTTGCTCTGCCCTGTGAGTGGTAAAGAGGGCGTCGCTCATATGTGCCGGGAGGAGAGAAACACCTCTGCAGCTGGCCAGCAGGATCTGGGCCTCCACCCGCCCGATGGCGTGCTCCTCCAGCCGCGCCTGCCTCGGCGTCGCCGTCACCCCGGCCGCGCTGTGACTCACGCGTTTGCAGCGGTGCTCTGCGGCGCGGGCCTGCTAAGCCGTATTGTTTGTGGATTGTTTGTTTGTCTTCCATCGCCAACAGCACAGCCCACGCGAACGAGCCAGACTCTCCATCTGAGGCGCTTGGGTGTTTTCCGCCAGCGCTTCCTGCGCTGGAAACGAGCTGCTTCTCCCCACGCGGAGCCGAGGTGCGTGTCTGGGACACGCGGCGTTCTTCCTGGGGCTCCCGGCGAGCTCTTACCTGACCGGCCCTGTGAGCTCTGCAGCGGCCCTTCTCTCCCAGCAGGGCGGGGCCTGGCGGCGGGGCCTGGCGGTGGGCTTTGCACTCTGGGTCAGGGCTTGCCCTGGGTGCAGGGTTAGGTAAACGGTGGTAGAGACAGTCCTGTCTCAGGCCACCCCCATCGTCCACCAAAGAGAAATGTTGACCTCAAATGACTAGGAAGTCGCAGGCGGCAAGCACACCCGGCCCGTCTCCGGGGCTCCAGCGGGTCCCCATGAGAAGAGCCGGTCCGGGGTGGGGAGTGTAGCTCCGAGCCGAGTCTCCCTGTGTGCCGTGGGCTGGTGGGGAATAGCTGTAGCCCCTTCGCAGCAGAGCGGCCGCCCCAGAATGGGCCCCTCCGGCTCCGACGTGCTCCCGCACACCCCACGTCCGCGTTCGATGCCTCTTCAGTTTGGGGAGGTTAAGCACGTGGGCGGCCGCGGGCGGCTGAGCTGTGCCCAGTGGCACCGGATCACGCAGTGACGCAGGAGCAGGAGGTGAGGTGGCACCGGATCACGCAGTGACGCAGGAGCAGGAGGTGAGGTGGCACCGGATCACGCAGTGACACAGGAGCAGGAGGTGAGGTGGCACCGGATCACGCAGTGACGCAGGAACAGGAGGTGAGGTGGCACCGGATCACGCAGTGACGCAGGAGCAGGAGGTGAGGTGGCACCGGATCACGCAGTGACGCAGGAACAGGAGGTGAGGTGGCACCGGATCACGCAGTGACGCAGGAGCAGGAGGTGAGGTGGCACCGGATCACGCAGTGACGCAGGAGCAGGAGGTGAGGTGGCACCGGATCACGCAGTGACGCAGGAGCAGGAGGTGAGGTGAGGTCGCGGGTCCCTAAGGGGCCACACACTCCGTGAACTGACCGGCCGTGGCCCACAGACATTCCATCAGTTTTCGCTCACATGGGGGTGGGTTTTCTTCCGGAGCCCGAGGGTGAAGGAACCTTAGCAAAGCTGGGTCTCGGGAGGTGGCCGTTCCGTTCCATCCAAAGACGATTCCCGGCCAGGACGGGACGTGTGCCCAGCCCCCCACGCGCTGTGCTGCCCGGGGGCAGTCCTGGGGGCGGAGATGCGGGCACTTGGAATGGAACTGTGATTGGGGGAAACGTGGCCAGTGGGGGCTCCAGGAAAAGTGTTTCCTTAAAAAGTAGGGTGTCTTTTTCTCTCCTTCTGGTAACTCGGTGGGAACCATCCCGTCTTACCTTCCCTGGAGCCCAGGCGGCAGGTGCCGGAGGCAGACAGGCCCCCCTTCCGTTAAAATCGTTACATGGAAAGCGGGTCACAGCTAAGGCTCAGGTGACCTCCATGTCCTGGTGGCCCTGTGGGCTGCACTTTGGGTGGATGGACAGACGGACCTGGTCTCCTGGGACACAGTGAGGCCGCAGAGTGGGGGCGGGGCTGGGGGAGGGGCGGGCGTCGGTTCACTTCTCCACTGACACTTTGAAAGGAGCGGGTGTTCCCTGCGAACATTTAGAAACACAAAGGGAGCGTCCAGAACCCTCCATTTCGTTTGATTCCGCAGAAACGGCTCATGAAAGGCTGACCTTTCGAGGATGAGCCATGGGGCCTCCCCCACCCGCCGTGGTAGCGCCCCCGAGAAACCTGCTGCGATGTGGGTTTTATCTTTAAAAAGTCCAATTAGCTC